TCTTCAATAACAAAATGTGAAAACAGTGTTTTGCTAGAAAATGGGGATTCATCTTCTTATGTACATGCATTTGTCAGGTGCAAGGCAATCATATGTAGATATTACTTCATACACATGAATGCTAGAAAGCTGAAACACAATATATAACTGTGAGAAACTTCGGAAAAATTAATACTTACAGAATTAGAATTCTCAATGCCATTTTCCATTATAATTCCTTGTTTCGTATTGATTATATTTTCTCGTTTTGCAAGAAAATTTCCAAGATGACATATTTTCAAAAGAATATGCTGATGGCTTATATTTATTTTTATTCCAGATTATTATATTCTAATCTTAGTGATAAATATTAGTCATTTACTAACTGCATTTATTTCAGTATTTTTATTACTTCCATATATAGTAAAATCAAATAAAAATTTACATTCCTCAAAATTTTTTATTCAAAAAACTATACTTATTGCAATTGTTCCCACAAGTATAATTATTTTGTTTAAAAGTTTTTATTGAATCTTTAAATCAATTAAATTAATCAATTATCAGTGTGTCAATTTATGTTCATTTTCCATATACATACAAATATATGAACACATACGTTTATAATCGGAATATTTTGCGATAATTTTAAATTCATGAAATTTATTTATGTAGTTTTCCTCCATAATAGATGATACAAAAGTTCTTTTATAATTTTAAAACATGAAAATGAAAGTTTTCTTAGAGTGATTAATTGATTGCTATTGTGATTTTAAGTACAGACAAGTTTTTCCCAGTTTGAGTAATAGATGATTTTCCAACAAAATACTCATATTAATAGTACATTCAAGAAAAAAAATCCATGCAACCAAACATTCTGCTACAATAAAATTCAATCCTAAAATTAAGCTAGCAGCATTTTATGTCAATAGCAATTTGTTGCTGTTATTCTTATAAAAAATCGTGCAATTTTCATATAATTTGTATGTAACGTATCATGTAAATTTGAGATTATCATGCACATCGATTTTTAACAGAGAAATTATTTATTAAGATTAGCAGCAATTTTAGGATTGCTTTAGCCTTACCGCTGTACTACACATTCTCTAATGTAAAATGTTTTATAAATCACTAAGGGAAATTAATACAATTTCTAAAACAATGTACATTTAAACTGCATGATTTATATAAAGCAACAGTGGTTTAAAAACTGGTGACAAGTATTACTGGCACAAAATACTGTATTGCTTGAATATATATGTCAGATGGGAACTTTTCCAATTCACTGGCGCAGTTGATAAAGCGACAAAAAATTATACAACCGAGGCCAAATGCAGTCGTAGCTAGGGTTTTCAGCGCCCAGGGACAACTGAAGATTTCGCCCCCCCTACTGCTTGCCAAGGATGGAAAACATTTAATTCTAAAATGTTGTAACATCAGTTTGGCGCCCCTTGGATTCTGCACCCGGGGACAGATGCCCCCCCCTCTAGCTACGCCCCTGGCCAAATTGAATATTCCTGCTGGTAACCTTAGTTTCAAAACAAGTTGCAGCCATTTCTTATCAGTCACATCTTTTTCCTAGTATGTCAAAATGAATGAAAAATTTAGGATTTGCTCAGAACAGAAGTAAGAATCTGTCAGATTCTTTCAAGCAAGGCATTTGTCTAAAATTGCTACTTGTGATAATGATCATGAAATGGAATTGTATTATGGAGACGAACTTCATTGACGCTGCAACCTTTTAACATGTTGCAGTAAAAGTAGTATCCGGAAAGACGCATGGCTAGAATCATGGAAATTGAGTTTCTTGAAGTGTGTGAAGTTTATTTAAGGTTGTAGCAAAGAATTAACTTCAGTTAAATAGTGTGAAAACCAGTTGGGCATAGAACAGTTGTGGAGTGGAATAACTACATGTGTGAGGTTTGTGTGGATTCTTTGCTTCTTCAAGAACAGAAATTAGGAAGACTTGCTGTGATCGTTGAAGTGGGTGAAAGTACGTTCACAAAGCTCAAAAGCATGTGGGATGGATTCTAACTACAACAGTGGATTTTTGCTGGAGTTTGCAGTGAAACAAATGAATGCTTCCTTGTGAAGTTGTCAAACCGATCCACGAGCTTATATTAGAAGCAATTGGAGGAAAATATCGAAAATGGAATTATAATGTATTCAGATTTGTAAAAAATCATACTTCTCTGAAAAACTGGCAAATGAAAGTTTTGAGCATTTCAAAGTGAGCCATAAATACAACTTTGTCAATACAGAAACTAGAACGCAGACACAAAAAATAAAAAGACTGTGGAGTAGCACGAAAAAAGAAACACAGAGGATTGGCACAACATCATCTGGAAAGTTATCTCGTGGAATTTATGTGGAGATGGGGAAACAAAAGACACACATGAAAAAATTTTAAACGATATTAAAATGTTTATGCCTCCAATGTAAAAAAAATCTTAGAAGTAACATTTGTTAGTACTTTATGTGCATACTGTGTCTTGTCATTATAATAGTCTACTTGACGAGATTTGCAGCATTATTAACATTTTTTTATGTGTATACCGTGTGTTGTCACAAATAAAGTCTGGCAAAATGAAAAATACCATCAGATGTAATATAGAAATTGCTACAAATTATATGTGTGCTATTAGTTTATTTTAAGATCTGTTTCAAAAATGAAAATATTTATCAATGTATCTCCAGTCGCATAGCTTGGGTGGGGTAAGGGGGGACATCTGTCCCCGGGCGCAGCCATCCATGGGGTGCCAAATTGATGATACGAAATTTTTTAATGAAATGTTTTCTATTTTTGGCACACAGAAAGAGGAGCAAATTCTTCAGTTGTCCATGGGCGATGAAAACTCTACGCCCCTGTGTATCTCTACACACATTTCAAGATATATAACTGCCCTTGAAAGCTACGTAAAATACACTAGTGGAGATTTCGATTTTTATTTCAATTTTTTTAAAAAAATTATTTATTTGTACAAATTAATGCGCTATGGAAATTTATACAACAGACTCTTCTTTAAACAGTTTCAATTCATTCTTTAACCAAATACAAATAAACTGTTAACCCTCTAAGCAGCAAAGCCGTGTATATACAGCTTAGAATATTTTTTGTGATATCTGCAAGAACGTCTATATACATGCATATTAAAATATGTCAAAGAAAATAAGGCAATATATCAAAAGAAAGCAAATTCAGGTATGAAATACCACGAGAGTTTTTACATTAAAATCAAAAATAATTTGTTCTCATAGTAGTTTTGGGAAATTTATACTTTCTTAGCGAAAACCCTGGCTGCTCAGAGGGTTAATAAGATCAGTAGATTATTTAAATTGTATTCTACACAATTCCCTTAGCTTTCATTCATAAAATACAAATTTATCTAATGTAACAAATACTGTTTCTTTTCAATGTGCTGAAAGCCCATAAGGTTTGTTTGGCATCTGTTACAAAGCCTACAAGGCGATACTCGCCATTCCAACTGTGACCACTGAGGAGATGTTTCATCCAATGAGAGCAAACCGTAGAAGAAAAGGTCATTAGGCTTTGTGAATTAAAGCCTGCAACATTGCTACTAAGTGGAAGAACTGCTTATTACACATTGAAATTGCTACTGAACATGCAATTCATTGAAACTCCCATGAGCAATATTTCCAAAGCATCCGGCATGGGAAAAGTGTTGCAGAAATGCAAACTTAGATAAATGGACTAAAAATCGCTTTGGGCTCTTGATTGATCATTGCAAGATTTGTGTGGAAATGTCAGACCATTTGGGAATGCATAAATATTGCTTGCAGGGGATTTCAGGCAAACATTACCTGTAATTCCTTGATCAACACCAACGGAGGAAATAATGCTTGCCTGAAATACTTTACTTTGTGGCGACATGTAAAGACATTGAAATTAACTACAAATATGTGTGTCAATCTGCAAAATTGATTGATCAGCTGAGATATTCTCACATCAGTTGCTGGAAATTGGTAACGGAAAGGTGCCAATTGATCTGACCTCAGGATGAATTTCATTGCCTCACAACTTCTGCAATTTAGTGACGTGAAAAGAAGAATTAGTTGAAAAAGTATTTCTCAATATTCAAAGCAATTAAAGGAATAATGACTGGCTGAGTGGACCAGCTATTCTTGCAACCAAGAACAAAGACATCTACGAACTTAACAACAGTATTCAGTCTAACATTTAAAGCAAGCAGTCACATACAAGTCCATCAACATTGTTGTGGAAGCAGATGAAGCATTTAATTATCCAGCAAAACAAATTCACTTGAACTGCCTCGGATGCCACAGCACATACTGTGATTGAAAATCGGTATGCCAATTGTGTTGCAAAATATCAACCATCTAAAGCTTTGTAATAGCATTTGGTAAAAAATTAATGAGCAACGTTATAGAAGCAATAAATAATCTTGATGGGACCTTTCAAAAGTGAATAGGATAGAAATAGGAATGAGAACAATGGATATGCTATTTCAACTTAAGAGATTACAATTCCCAATTCAATTGGCATTTGCAATCGGCATCAACAAAGCTCAGGGCCAATCTTTAAAATTCTGCAGTTTACATCTAAACACTGATTGTTTCTCACATGGACAATTATATGTTGTGTGTTCTAGAGTTACCAAACTAGATAATCTCTTTATCTGCTCAGAAAATGAAACAATGAGATATATTGCATACCTGTAAGCATTGTGAAGTTAAACATATTTGAAACATACACTTTCTCTTTTCTTTCTTTTCCATTTAATCAGATTGAGCCACAGCAAAGTATGGCTGGGTATAGCTAGTTTTAAATATGTTTAAGTTGTTGCAGATTCAATCCAATTAATGTTTGCTACAACCAAATTTTCTGTTGATTTTTGTACTGAAATAAAGAACAAGAATTTACTGTATTTTTTAACTAGCCCTTAAAATATATATCAATAATTGAATGTATTGCACATGGCATTTAATTCAGTAAATGTTATAAAATATTAATCAGATTTTATAAAACATACAGACTACTCAAATTTCAATATACATTTTACAAAATTTTATTACAGTATACATTTTATTATTGTACATCAGATCTTACTTTACCTGACACTGCACATCTACAAAAGCTGTATTAGCTACATCTAAGCAGTGCAAAGAAAAACCATAAAAAATACTATTAACAACATTACAAATGTTTATACATTAGTTTCACAGTTTTATAGCATAGCTCAGTTGAAGCTTCTTTGTTGCTTTGTCAAGTTGATTTTAAATTAACTATACATCATAGAATTATATGACGGGGAAAGCTATTACATTTCTCAATATACACTATGCACATCTTTCTTTTATGTTCTTTCCTTAGGATTCTTTAAGTTCCCAAAATGAGCTGTTTTTATAATAAATCATTAAATTGTAAGTGCATAAAAAGATAAGATTCAAAAGATGCAGAAGACAGTTTTCAAACAAGTTATAGAAATATATTTTACATGTTTTATAAAAGTAAAAAAGTATTTCAAGGAACTAAAAAAAGGATATATATATATAAATATTTGAGAATATTAAAAATTTTTGGATTTCACATTTAATATTTTACTGTAAACATACACTATATACAACAAAACTGTAATAATTTAAAAATGAAAACAATTTGTGGTATCAAAAGGTTATTACAAATATAAATTTCAAAATGTTAGCCATCTCATTAGAATGTGATATGAATATTTTTTCTTTTGTAAAAACATGAGATACTGAAAAGATAATACTACTTTAACTGAAATAAAATCCTTCTTCTTTGCTCAGATTTTTTTTAGTTGATATGTTTTCAGTGAGATCACACAAGATACCAGCTGCTTTCATATCTTTGGTACACAGTTTTAATACATACAGATTCTGAGATTTGCGGAGCTTGCATAAAATGTACTAAATAAATTATTTTCATCCACTATCTAAAACAAAGCAATTTTAAGATTTACAAAATAATCCATATTAATCTTAAAATTATTAAATCTAATACAAACACTATAAAAAGTTTTCTTCTGTACAACTTAATGAAATACTATAGAATTAAAATTTTAGGTAATAAAAAAAATTCTGAGGTATTTAAGATTTTAAAATTATAGTTTGCACATATGTATTAGCCAAAAGGTGAGTTCATTTTTTAGTACAAATTTTACAGTATGTTTAAAAAAAATTTAAACAATAAATGGACAGCAGCAATTAAAAGAGAGAAAGAGAAATGCATATGTGTCTCTGGCATACATAACATTTACAACAATTTGTTAACTGTATATTTTTGCCCACATAATATTAAATAGAACAAAATAAGTGATTTTCTTATGAACGGACACACCAGTTAAAGTAAATACTCTGATTTACTTTATATCTTCAGTGAGAAAAACTGCCAAGTTTGTTTCTTAACAAATAAATTTATTTGTATCATAGAAGCTTCAATACTTTTGTAACATTTATATATCCACAAATTAAGGTATTTCTTACTTCAGATTTTATAATATAGCATCACAGTAAGTAGTATATGATAGAAGTTAAACCTGATTTCAGAATAGTAGGCACAAAGTTTTTTTTTTAAAGCAAATTAATGATGCAATGATTTCTGTTTGGGAAAACATGCACAATAAGCAAATTACTCCACACCATTATGTTCTTATAAAAAGTTACAACTTCACATAAATACAAATGCATTATTTAAGCTTTTTTTGAAAACCAGTGATAGCCACCAGAATTTTATTAAAATATAAATGTAAAGATACATGGTTACAGTACATATTTATCAGGCTTTTATGCTTGAAAATGACTTGTTTTTAACACATGAATAAAATTTAATTCAAAATATTTCCAATTCTAAGTCATTTTTATGTACCTACATATTTACTTACATATTTGTAATTGAGATTTTAGAACACTAACTTTGAAATGGGTATGTCTTTTGTTTCAGTATCATGAATTATTATAACTCTAAAATACTTATGTCTTTTGCTTCAGTATCATTAATTATGATATACTTTTATATATTATATCATGAGAGTAATGCACATACAAGTAATGAATTTGAATCACAAAATGAAAACTTCTACAAAGCTTTTCTCTTTTAAAAACGCATTTTGCTCCATTCCAGTTTTAATGAAAGAAAATTTACAAAACAACTTTTAAGATTAGGAACTAGAAAACTTAAAATAATAGAAAACTAAAACTAATAAAACTTTTAAAAGTTCATATATCTATACTTATATATATTAAGTAACCATTGCATCATCATTTAAATAAGCTCCACAAATAAATTACAGTACAAAGAATAAGGAGGTCCTTAAACTCGTAGTCATTTTTGATCAATTTTACTTCATATCTTTCTTGGGAAACCATGCACACTCTTTTAGAAAATTTAACTTTTTATTCTTTTAGGTATGGCTTCCATGTTATTTACCTGTTATATATATATTAAACAGAAAGTGCTTGTATAAAATTGTGAAAACATTAATGATATCTGTGTTAGGTGTTTTCGCATTAATTAACAAGGGAAATATTGTGCAGAAGAAACAAATACAAACTTTCCTCCCATGATTTTCAGAATAATTGTAACTATTTGAAAAATTAAGTTATTTGGAAAACTCGAGAGCATTGCAGTTGAATAAGGGCCTTCCTTCTTATTCTTTTAATACAGTATATGAAATTAAAATTCACTATCAGAGCTCAGCAAAGCACATAACATTTATGACATAGAAGGTGGCCCTTGAGGATAAGTCTGAGGCCTTCTCCGGAATCTCATATATAGAACTTCGAGTGCAGACTCTAAATATATTTGGTGATAAGGGTCACACACTCCTAGATGAGTTAAATCTTCTATTCCGAGAGTAGCAACATGCCGGAGCTCAGTGAGTCCTACAGACATGAAATGTGACTCATACATAGGAAGGCCCAAAGAAATAAGCCAAGACCGAAGGCTTGAGTAGTTTGGCTCAATCACAGGAACAATGCAAGAGTCAGATAAGAAGTCATTTGGCACCTTAAAATGAAAAAAATATTAGAAGAAATCTAATAATACAAACTACCCGTTTTATCATCATATTACGATACACACATAATAGAAATAAAAAATATTCTACTTTCAGTTATCTTCCTTTTGAACTGTTTTGCACTTAAACTACAGTTTTATAATACAGAAATAGCATTAAGACTGTATATAAGAATAAAGCACTGCAAGCATTTGTAAAAGGTTTTATGCTAATAGTCTTGTTTTTTATTTGAACTAATTAACTTTAGTAATATTTATTAATAACATATTACTATATATAATTAATATTAATGATCAGTCAATCAATTAATTAATTATAATTTCTGATCAATAGCAATAATTACTTGTTTTTTTAATTTCTTTCTCAAAGTTTGAAATTTTGTTATTCATGATTTAAAGTCCCCTTAAAAAGTTTTTTTTATGATTTACATTCAAGTTCCTTTAAAAAACAATTTTTGGAATTAAACTTCCTACTTATGGGTTCCCTCATTTTGATGCATTCTGCTAAATTTATATTAGAAGATAATATAATCAATATTTCTTTAGTAAATAAATTATTCTTATCTTACTTTACAGCTATTGTGCAAGTGTTAGAAAAACTTGTTTTTGAATTCAATGAATTTTAGATCATTCAATAATTAATATTAACTACATACAATTATATTAATATAATTATTGTTATCATCCTGATCTGTAGTCAGCCATTATTTTGCATTATACCTACGGTGACCATATTTTTTTGGAGAAAATAAAGGACACTTGTAACGTGACATGAGGGGGGGTTATGGTAATTTAAATTCGTGCTCAATAATTTTGTGTTAGGGGTGGGGGTTTGTGCATTCGTGTGACGTCACAAATGTTAATTTGGGGTCTTCCAAGGTGTGACATGGGGATTGGGGATGGGCAGGGTCAAAATTATCCCAAATATTGCGATCATTTATGGACGCCTCCTGATAAAAAAATCTCCAAAAAACTTAGTAATTCAAAAGGTTTATTAAAACAATAGAAGCAGACATTAATATGTTCAATGAGTTTTAAATAATGTAATATGTAAATATAGGATATTAAATAATTTATTACTCATACTTTCCAGATGTGTAGATTTTTCGCAAAAGTGCCGGTTCACGCTTCAAAAAGTCGTGAAATTCAAGGCAATTCATTTCAAAGTTAAATTTTACAGCTATGCTGGCTTGTAATGTACTAACACTTAATTGGGTTTTGTCACTGGTCCACATATTATTTACTAATGAAAATATTCTTTCGACGGGAGCATTAGTTCCAGGTAGACATAAAGCAAACTCAATGAGTTTACAAGTATTGTTGAAGGCAATATGATTCGCTTTAAAGTGATTAAATATCTCCACCCATCTTAGGTGGCAGGATTTGCTGTTTTGCCTCCATTCGTCAATTTTTTCATTGGTAATGTAATTTTTTACGAGGGTAATTTCGTCAAATAATTCACCGTCGGATATTTCGACCGAACATTGTTCTGATATGAAAATGTAACTTGCCTCCACCTTCGACCACACAGAGACTTCTCGCAAAGTGATCCATTCAAAAACACCTGCTTCATTGAAACACATGTCCCAATTGCTTAGATATTCAATGCATGTTTGATAAAACGTGCAAGCTTCAGAGATAAACTGTGTAGATTGCATATCTTGCACTTTTGATAACGTTTTCTTTATCACTATTGGAACAAACTTCTCATTTTTTCTTGAATTTAGCTTAGTTTTTAATTCCTTAACAAGTAATGATGTTTCACACATTGAAATATCTTGATCTTCAGCCTTCAAAATATATTGATGAAACATTGACGCTTGATTATGAACAAAAAATAACCATTCCTCTGATAATTCCCCATTGAAAAAAGTTTTAAGTATTGTTGGGCATTTATCCCGATTTAAAAAGTAAGTCTTTAAGGGTTCAAATAGTTGTAAAACTCTATCCAGTGCTGGCAGAAGAGTTAACCATCTTGTTTTACTGTAGCCAAGTAGCTTTTTGTATTGGACCTCTGCTGCCTATACACAAATTGTTTCAATATTTCTACTCGTATTGTGTAAATATAGAAATGTGAGTAAATTTTTACCAATACCACTTCAATATCTATCGGAAGGCATCGACCGCAGTGCTGATGCAATTATTGAATATGTGGGCTGCACAATTAACCCCAATCAATTTCTTTTTGCTCGATTGTTGCATTTTGTAAAAACATTGTTTTTTTTCCTCTTCTTTGAGAACCCACCAAAATTAACATTTGTATTATCCGCGCACAAGGCTACCAATTTCTTGGTGGCCCCCAAATTTCTCCAGCGATTCATTGATACAATTTGTCAAAAATCGGAATTTTCACCGGGAAGCTGTTTTATATTCAAAACTTTTACTCTAACTCCAAAATTGGGTAAAAAATATCTGACGAGAATTGTACATAATTTGGTGTTGCCATGATTCGAACAATCAGAATAAATGGTGATATTATTTGTTTCGCTTAGGTCACTTTTGATCACTTCAAATGAATATGGGGCGAAGACATTGCAAATAATTGATTCCGTTTTTGTCCTTGCGCAAGAATATTTTTCTTCGAAACACTTCTTAATTAGTTTGGAGGAGCAGTCACTAGATCTGAATGAATAATTGTGTTGAACTGAATGATAACACCACGATGCTTCTTTTACGGCTAACGCGTTTTGGGTGTCATTATCTCTTTTATTAACAAAAAATTCATTTAAAGATTTGCTCGCCGAAGCCTGCCTATCTGCATCTTTGTGTTTTGAAGATGCTGATTAATTGCTGATCTGCCGCTATTTGCAATGTTGAAAGTGGCTAAACATTTACTGCATCTGACATCGCTATCCAATTTTCCTTTTTTTATGAAAGGAAATTCTTCCTGCAATGCTTGGTTGAAAGTGCACTTTCTTTTAGGTGCCATGAATGGTAAAAGTCAAGATTTATATAAAATTTAGTTAGATAATACCGAATATCAAAACTAAAATACAAAGCAAACTTACCTAGGAGCTAGGACCAGGGTAAGTCATAAATTGATTACCGTTGAGTAAACTAAAAGCTGTAAAATACAATATTTGGGTAACATTGAACGAAGGACGTGCCGCGCGCACAAACCGTAGAAGGAGAATGAACACAAAGATTAAAAGAAACTAAGCAGTCCCCAGTTATGTGGTGGTGGTACTAACGCGAGAAGCAAGCATTGCTGCTCTGGCCCGACTGCGTATTTGTCAGCGTACGGCTCGGCTGGCATTTAGAAAAAATACGTTGCGGGTGCTCCGATCTAGAGTTGCAGAAAACCAATTTGAGAAATTTGATTTTGCGACGATTTCTCAAAATAAAGGACAATATGCTTATTTCAGGAAATAAATAAAGTTAGAGGACAGAGCCTTCAAATAAAGGACTGTCCTCTGAAATAAAGGACGTCTGGTCACCGTAATTATACCGATACATAAATGTCAAAAGTAATATTTTGTAATTATTGGGTGAGTGCATTATTTCTTGTAGTTTACTATAAAGGAATTTTGTTATGTTATAAAATAAATTAATTAGGCTCTGTATCTACATTACATTCTTCACTATTATTTATAATCTTCTGCCACCCATTGAAAATTCTCCTCCCTCTTATGGCATTCGTTTCTTCAGATAAAAAGTTTCCTCCACACTATCAAACTTCTATTTCTAAAGGAAACTGTGGGAGAATACCAGGGATGGTAATATGAACTCTCACCAAACTCCTGTAATTTCTCTCAGTCTGGTCAGATATATAAGGATTGCTTCTGGAAACATTCCTATTTAATATTTGGTTTGAAGGTTGGAGCTTTCAACAAACCACTCCTGTGAAATTCCACCAAAACTTTACCAGAAGTTTTGCACATATTATTCTCGCTTTAGATCTTGGAGGTTAGCCTATCAGCAAACAGTACTGCAAAATTTGATTTTCTTATACAGAATCCATTATGCATCACCATTTACCATTTGACTTAAAAACCTTTATTTATTTTGCCAAATTTAGTTTGAAATACATTTTACTGTCCTCTTCCTGTCTATTTTCAGTTATTTCATATTGTACACAGGTGTTATATTTTACCATAAATCCGACAGCATGTACCAACTTTTCCACTGTCATTCCATGAACCTTTAATTTTACCCCAAACTCTGCTGCAGTATTCTCTTCATTATTCTCAATGGTTTCCAACAGGTCTTCGTCTTTCAGTTCTTGATATCTTCATGATTTTGGTATCTGAGTTGCCTATCATCATTATAAAAGCATAGAAAACAATACTGGCCAATCCATTCTGATATGGTATTATTGACACATTTCTTTCAATGTATTTCTGCTGTGCACATCCAAGATCATACATACAAAAGGCAATGTCTCATATGCACTTTTCACCTTCATTTTCTCTTTCTTTCTAATTATTTAAAAGAAAATGTACTTTACCATTGTTTTTTACTAGACACTAGACAATCCCATATTATTTTGAACCACCTAATGAATGCAGGAAATAAGTTTCCAAAAAACTTTTGCATATACTGGATACTTAAAATTTTTGATTCAGCAGGTAAAAAATGAAAATGAAAAAAAAAAAAAAAAAAAAAAAAAAAATGTGCAACTTAAAACATAGCTCATATGTAAAACACTAAATAAATTACAAGTTTACATAGCAAATATTCATTTCTACATTTTCGGTTTTAGTAAAATAATAATAGAGAATGAATAAAAATTCAGATTATAAATATAAGTAATATTTTGAAAGAAATATGAGGATTTCTAACCCCTCTACGAGCTTGCTGTTGTAAGGATGTTATACGAATTTGATCTAATGCATCTGCCACGTCAACTATGTTGTGCTGGAGTTCTTCAGCATACCTTTGTACCAAAGCTGGTGGAATCCCACAGAATCCAGTCTGAAATTACATTATGTATATAGTATAATTACAAAATAATAGCAAAAAAAGTAATATGTCTGTGAACAAAAGCTAGTTAAAAATATATTTTCATAATCAAATAAAAGTGGAATATAATTTATAACAGAATTAACAGCCTGCTGGAAAAAATAAAGAGGCTTCTTTTTTTGAAATGGTTCATTACTAATAATAAAATAAGGATACAATACAATAATGTTACAAGAAAAAGGCATGAGGAAAGCCAAAAAAACTTCCTTTAGTAACATCAAGAGGGAGCTGTATCCTTTTATGTGGTGGGACTACGAAGGAATTGTATATTATGAACTGCTGCCATTAAATAAGACAACAGATTCAGAAAAATACTGTTCCCATAAGGCAGTTTTAAAGGCAGAAATTGAAGCAAAGCACCCAGAAATGGTGCAGATTCTTTAAAGTGTTGTCCTCCATCATAACAATGCTCAGTCTTGCATTTTGATGAATGTCAGACAAAAAAGAACTTATTGAGTGCAGTTAAGATGTTTCGTGTACATTCCCCATACACACATTCAATAGACCTTGCCCTCTTGAATTTTCATCCATCTTTTCAGGTCACTTACTTAAAACTCTCTAAATGGCCTGGATTTAATTTGTTAAAGACTGTCAAATGGCACCTTGATAACTTCTTTACAAATACATATACAACTTTTTAAAAAAATTTTCCAATGGCCTGACAGATGGCTAAAAAGTCATAAAAGAAAATGGCACTTTATGTCATTCAATGAAAGTTTTTTTATGCTTTTGTATTTCTTTATTGGTATTTATCATAAATAAACACAGAACTTTTTGAATGGCCCAATGTATAATGGATTTGAGTAATTCTTGTTTATTGCATCAGCTGAAAGACTTTCTATGCATATATATCTTCTGAAAAGGATATATAATAAAATTTAGAAATAAAGCAAGAATGCTTCATTCATGATATATAAAAATTTAATACAAATGTTTTCACATATTCATTAATATAATGATATTCAGTCAATTTATTTTGATATATTCAACTTCCATATATATATCTAAAATCAGTTATACAAAAGTATTCATTGGATTGATGGATTATATAAAAATGTTCATTGGGTTTCTTGATCAATGAGAGGGATATTTTTATATATAGAAGCGTCTGTAGGGAAAATAGCTTATATTTTTGTTACATATGGCAAAAACCATGAAAATGCTGAAGTAACCAGACTATTTGTTGGAATTAAGCTCAGTTTAACTACCAGTATTTAACAGTCTTATCTATTTGACCATTGCTGGACCTCTAGATTGTTCAATGTCAGTTAATAAATATATAAGTAAAACAGATAGATAAAAAGTAGTAAAGTGAAAAATTTAAAGCAGCAGACAACTGCATGATCTTTCATGCATAAACTATGTTCATGAAAAAGGATCATTCATGAAAAGATACAAAACTACATCATATAAGAGTTCACAGTTCACTCTAAGCTCTTAATTTATTCAAAATGCTTACTTTCATATTTTTAAAAGTGTGAAAAATCATAACTAGAAAAACTCTAGACAATTTGGAAATTTTTCTCTAGTATGTTTAATAGCTTCTTCTCTTAGTCATGTGAACTAGTTTTTATTTTTAATATGCCTAATGGTTTTAACATAATGAATAAATATAATAATTTAAAAGGAATCAAAGAAGGAAAACAATTTTTTTGTGGATGCAATTTAAATAATGATGTTCAGAAATATATTATCAAAAGAACTTTTATCATTCTCATTTAAAAATTTTTTATTCGTATTTCATTTTTTTTACCTTATCTGTATATGGCTCTTCATGGAGATATATTTTCTCAACCACTAATTTATTGTTTACTTTTGAAATAAGTGTGGGTGAAGGAGGCCTAGTATCATGGATTAGGGTTTGAAGGCTACCCTTTCTTTGCTTAACTCTCCTGTATATATGACGTCCCGGGGAATCCTCAGCTTCTGTAGCAGGATCACTAACAATATCGTCGTATTCATGCAAATTCCTCCTTGATGCTTTCTCATTTCTTGAAAAAGATGCCCAACCATACACATATGAACCTTGATCTGAGCTCATATCACCAGATATGTGACGAGACTTACCAAAACTAAATGTTTGAGAGTTTAAGTCATTGAAGATATCTTTACTGTGATGGGAATGTGATTTATTACGACTATGTTTATTCCTTGTTTTCCTAGGTGAACCAGGAGAGGATTTAGTGCCAGAAGCTGAAAGGAGGTAAGGAACGCTTAGTGTAGTTATATCTTCTTCTGGTCTCGAAATAAGGCTTCTAAGAGTTGCACTGATTGTTTCATTCTCTCGATTATTATATGAATTTTCCTGAGTAGGAGGAATGTTGTAATTACTGAGATCATTGATTTCATCAGCACAATCATTTTGGTCAGTCACACAAGTCACATCATCCATGGTGGTGGCTGTTGATTTTGTAGAGGATTCAGCACTCAGGTCAAGGTTATTCATAGTTAAACCTGAATCTTGACCCTCTCTTGAATGAATACCACTCTCAGAATGACTAGTATCTTGGTCTTCTAAGTCAACCATAAACTGTCCATTGCTTAGAGCCTTTTGAGAAGAATCACGATGAATAAGATTTTCATGACTTGCATAACATCCCGAGTCCCTTGAAGATTGTTGTAACCGAGATTCCTCCCCTTCAATCTCTTCTGCAACAGAATATGAATAAATTTAAACCTCATCTTGAATATATTATTATTTTTATATTACAACATAAAGAATTCTAGTAACTAAAGTAAAATTTATTTATATTTTATTTTTAATGTAGTCAGAGTGCTGAATATACTATTATTTTAATATTGTAACAAAAAGAATTCAAAGATCTATAATCACCTCTTGTTTAATGCACTATTTATTTAAGAACTAAAGTTTAGTAGCTTAAATGAATTTTATTCGTATTTTATTTTTAATAGAATTTTAGCCATACAGTTTTTAATTCATTAATTTTCTAATAAACATATCTGTAAAAGAAAAATAATAAGCAAAACTATAAAGATTAAATTCAGTGCATTTAAACTATGTTACATTAACACATTTGTTGAAGTTAATACAGCATTAAAATTAATTTTTGATATTTACAATGTATTTCTATGAATACATATAAATTTATTTACATGAAAGCAAAATATTTTTTAAACATAAAATTGCAACTCCTGTACAACATTATTTGCAATAATTCTGATGAAACAACAAGACAGCTATTATACAAAAATTTCTCTATTATTAGCCTCCAAATCTTATATATGAAATTTCTCTATTATTAGTCCCCAAATCTTATGTACATATATGAAAAACAAAGTTCATTTAAATTTATTGAGGAATAATTCTTAGGATTAAACATTTAATAATTTTTAGGTAAATGTTTTATGTAAACAGATAGCAATATATATGGATTACTTTTATATATGATTAAATGCCTCTATATATTCCTGCGTTTAATATATTCATAGAAAGTTGTATCATGTACATGAAATTTGCAATAATTAAAGGTAGCTGTCAGATGGCATTAGTACACTCTCTATGAAAGTAAAACAGTACAAAGTCTGAAAACCAGACGTCTATTATCCGGAATGATCTAAAATCCGGACCCCAAAAACACCAACAACATTTTCTTGTAGGCATTACGCATATGCATTTGATTTCCCCCTCCGTGCATAATAAAACATCTGTAGAGTCCCGATTCATAATTTCTTTTTGACACTAAATAAAATACCTTGCTATTGAAGAAACAATTATTTTACCATACATTTGTATGATCAGTAATTTGGCTCCGTTGCTGCATATCTGCTTGGCACACATCTCAAACCGAAACAGTCCACATAGATACATCGATGATCTAACTCCAACCTGGCGAATCATTATTTATTATACTTTCCTTTCATCACCGCATGTTTATCAAAGCATGACAAATTGATAATGACTAATGATGATTACAGATTTAAGTTAAATGTGTTAAAAAATGTTGACTAGGAAGAATTTACCAAAAATTTCTTGCCATATGCTAAAAATAGATTTTGTTGAAAATACTCATAGATCCAAATATTACATTTAGGGCTATTTGAATTAAGACTAACTGATTTGTTATTCTTACAAACCCAAAACCATCGCTAGTGCTCGTTTGGCTGCATCGAGTCGTAGAATTTAGGATCCACAGAGACTGCATCAGGCGGTAAGATATCCAGCGCCGGCCCTCAATACTTATATAATGGGAATTTATTTATTCAGAACTGTGATAAGCCTTAAGCATGTGCAAGAAATAGACATAAATATAATAAACAACTAAACTAATACAATTCAGGCTTAATTGTCTCAGTGCACAATAGAAGCAAGATAAAATTTAACAGAACAACTTGTCGTTAGTCGCCAAGCTCACGATGCATAGCCAAATATGTACAGTGAAGAACAGCTAAATTTGATGATGATAGCCGCTAATTTTAAAGGTTTTTTTCGGATATCGCCAAACAAAGGTGAAATTTTCCAATTAACGGATTTTGCAAAGAAATGTGGAGAAACGGTAATAAATGAAGATGATATAAAAGAAGTTTTTCATTGTTATGACAATGCTTCTCAATCAACAATCAATTAATGAATGGCGAAATCTGTAGTATGGTTCTAGATCCAGAAAATACTGCTACTGATAGTGAAGAAAGTGATAGAGAAGTTATTATATACTGAAGATGAGAAAATTTCGATTGACAAGTTAGTCGGAATTCTCAAAATAGCAGTTACAGGACTTCAACAATGTAACTGAACAAGATATTATTTCTGTCTACAGAATTAAAGAGAAAGTATTCGCACAAAAAAAAAAAAAAAAAAAAAAAAAAAAAAAAAAAAACGAAGCAACTTATACAACTTACATTGAAAGAAATGTTTAATAAGGTAAACAAATAAATATTAAGCTTTTTTTTTTTTTTTTTATAAATTTTGCTACCCTTTAGATTATAAATGCTTCATTATTTCATAAATCATGATTTCATATTTTTCATTTTATAATTTCTACATGCCATCTTACTAGATTTAAATTGATGATCGATGATCTAATATCTGGAAAAATCCCAAATCTAGAATTGCTGAAGTCCCGACTAGTCCGGATTTCGGACTTTGTACTGTACATGTAATGATATCATCCAAAACAGCATAGTTGTAAAGTAAAAATTTAAGTTGTCTTTGAACCATTTGGCACAATATTGTATTTTGAGCAAAGCGTGAATATTGAAGCTTGGCTTTCTTGAACCAGGAACAGATCCCTTGCCAAGTCACAGTCACAATTTATTTTCCAGATTTCGTCCAACCTGATCTCATCATTCTTTCTTATTAAAATTGTTCTACATGGTCAAAACTAATCTATAAGCCATCTCAAATAATAATAAGCCATCTCAAAAGATGCGACAGCCACTCTTATGAGAAAAACCAAAAGCAGCATTCTCCCCATGAGTGCAGGATTTACGTATAAGCTCCATAAGTTATAAGCTTAGGGCCAAAAAAAATTAAAAGATAGTATAATAGAATTAGAAAGGGGCCTATATATCAAATAGCTTATGGCCTTATCAAGTCTAAATGCGGTTTTGCTCCCCATCCACGCTTTCAGAAATAGTAGGAATTGTTGAGAATCAAGCATTTAATTGATGTTAGGTACAGTTTTAGTGGCATCATTGTTTTGTTGTATTATTATGTTTTATGCATCTGACATCACTGTTATTTCTGTCATTTTAAAGTTTTTATGTAAACACTAAGACGTACATAAAGTTTCTTTATTTTTTTGTTATTAAAGTCCAAAGTTCATTTAGCCATCTCTCTGTTTCGTTAATTTTATAACAGGAATGCTGAAGCAGGTATATGTATTCTGATAGATATTGGCTCCGAAAGTGATTAGGTTATACTTTATAATATTTCAAATACATTTACTCTACAGTGCTTTGAAATAGCAGTATTTAATATTCTCTTCATTTCTATGCGGGAAAGAGAATTTAAAAAATTCATCACAGTAACTTATACTTTTTAATATTGTCATTTGTAAATTGTCTCTTGTTTTTAACTTAAAAAATGGAAGGTGAAAATAAACTACGTACCACCAGAATCTCCATCCTGCAACATTTCTGCAGCTCGTAATAATTTAGAACTATGGTCAGGATTTGTAATTCCAAGATTATCTAAATCCAACTTTTCAATTTCTTTAAACGTGTCCAATTCATTGTAACCATTCAGTACTAAAACATTTATATATTCCTATAATAAATATTGAAAATTTAGATTTTATAACAAATATATCAAAGTGCAAGAAAAAACTGCAACTATGCATATTATAATAATTTCTAGAATGCTTAAATACATTGGAATGAATACACTTCTACAACCATTACATTCAGAAAAATTAGTTAAGTAGATTTTAGTTAAAATTAAAATTATCACACATTTATTTCATGAACACAACATAAAAAAATACAAAGGTATATATATTATTGTATAATTCAACTGATTCTTATAATATATAATCGGCAGGTAAGTAAAATAAATGCCAAATTAGACAATGCAGATTACCTGAAGACCTAACTGAGTTAACATTTCCTCAAGAGATTCTGGCTTTTTAGAGTTGTTTAACCACTCACTGTTCACTTTCCGATGGCGATGCTTGATTTTCCTTTCTTCGACAATTTCTTGAACATTGATAAATTTGAAATGACCCACTTTGCCTTGGCACATCCCAACCCAAATCCCTGTTTTATGCTTGGCAATAATATCAACGATATCACCTTTCTGCAATAAAATTTTGTTTTATATAAACTAAAGCAAAGAAAAGAAATACATATATTAAGCATAAATTGAACTCTCATTTAATTTTTGGAAACCTACTGTAATCTGTAGATTTAAGTAATACGGCTCTCATCTGTTTAAACAAGAAACATATTTAATTTACTACTGAAAGAACTGCAGTACTTGCAGAATACACAAAATGACATTTAAAAAAAAAGATATTAAATAAAAATGAAACAATCGAAAGGATTTGTGTTTTAATGACCTGAATGGGTTTCTTAAGGTTTTTCTACGCTCTCACTGAGCTCACAGTGTACATGTATGCTGTTGCACTCACTCCTGCTAATCCATTTCTTTTAGCTTTATTATTAAGCATAATTTTCTTTGCACTTATGCCATATACTACTCAACAGCAAAATTACAGTAATTTTAAAAGCAGCATCTGTTTAGAATTCCTGTTAAGTGTTGGCATACATTTTCTGTTATTTAGTTTTTCTCAGTAAAGTTTTCTTAGTAAGATGGCTTGCAAAACTTTTTTTTGTCTTTTTATTATTAATATTTCATGTGTTAAATTTATAAATTAAATAATTAAATATCATGTTCTTCTTTCTTACATCACATAAAATTCAGCTGAATAGCAAAAATCACAAAATATGTTTTTAAAAAATGTTATGTAATGCCATCAATAGACGACAGGAATTGTCTACAAGGCTTTGTTTCATGAATAACTTTTTGTTTACTTTTGGTAGATGGCATCAGTTTTGCCACAATGCCTCTGGCTTTTGGTCGTAGTGTTATTAAAAATGCTATTATTTTTGTATTGTTTCTGTTTTTGATAGTATCTCATTGAAAAATTTATATTGTTTCAAGATGTAGATTTCCTTTCAAACAGCCTGTCTTTAGAATTTCTGATGTACAGTCTCGCATGCTGAAGATAACAACAACAAGATGGCAACAGTGTACGTTTTAATCCATACACTGTTGCCACTGCTCACTTTCAAATAATTGAGTTTGTTAAAAATTCATTAAAGGTTTACAAAACATATAGTGTTAAATCGAGACTACACTATTCAATATTTGATGGCTCGAGGTACTGTTGTTTTTCTCACAGTACATGAAACATACATACATGCATGCAGATTCTTCATTACTTGTTTAAAAGTAATTATTTGTTTAAAAGTAATACAGGGAGATTCAGTAATACAGGATTTCATGGCAACAATCTGAAAAGTGACTCAGACATTTAAAGTGGTACTTCACCAAATCTCATTTCGAGACTAATAGTCCATTCAGACTAACGTTACATTTTTTAATTAGTTAATTTTTAATTAATTTTTTGTGTGTATAAATATAAAAGTCTTGAGAACAAAGACCATGAGAGAAAGATAATGACTTCTTTGAAGATAACTTTACTTCTTTGCGGGAAGAAATGCAGTTAGCTATGGAATTAAGACATCCATTTTACTTACTTAAGAGAGAAATATTTAGGAAAAAGAAAGTTCTAGAACTTTGCTTAGATCTAGTTCTGAAGAAAAAAAGTAAAGAGTTTGTTCCTATTTTCTTTTCCTCCTTTGGTTATTCAGTTTAACAATTAGACTAGAAAGGTTCTTTAGTCTCAAAATAAATGAATAAATAAATATAACTGTAGGACAGGATTTATTAGCAATAATTTAGTAACACACCATGTTGGTTTCAAATGAGAAATACTAAGTGTTGATGGCTAGAATAAAACTAGCTTTCAACAAATAAATGAGAATATGTTTTGTTCAAAATATTTATGTTGTTACTTTACTGATAAAAAGAAAGAAAGGGAGGAGAAAATAAGGCCGCTTTAAAAGTTCCCTCTTCTTATAAGAGTGGATTTTCTTTTTCAGAGGCATATTAAAAGAAAAAGAGATAAGAGCATAAAGAAAATCCATTTTGGAAATATAAAAAGTTACAAATATTATTTCTTTATTTGCAGAAATGTATTTCAATTAAATTTTACTCGAATTCAATTATGTGGTTTATTTAGGAATAAAGTTTAGAATTTTTCTCATCACCATAAATTCTTGTTTTACTAATTATCTTAAAGGTTTGAGCATGGTTTTCTTAAACATATTTGTGGCCCTTAGTATTCTGTGGAGCCATGACATATTATAACTTTCTCAAGACAAATTTTTACCTGTATGGGCCCCAGTATCCTGGGATACATGAGCAGTACCTACATATTAAGCTGGCACTGTGTTTGAAATATTCAGACCTTTGAATAATGCCACAATTTTTAGACCTACATATAATATGGTATTTGTCATTGAAGTCTTTGCAGTTTTCTTATAAAATCAAGAGAATGCCAACAATTTTGATATTAACATGCTCATTAGCTAGAGAAAAGTAACTTTCATATTTCCTTTGTATCAACTAACATACAAGTTTTTAGTTAGGAATGCAAATAACTGACATTTTCCCCCTATATATTAATTTATTGAACACAGTTCTAATTTTTATATATATCAAATAACAGAATATTGGCACACAATTTTACAAAAAAAAAAAAAAAAAAAAAAAAAAACTGAATTTAAACTTTTAAATAACGGAAATAAATAAGCAAAATTTAATTATGAGAAACATTAAAAAAAAAAAAAAAAAAGGTTTACTATCATTCAATTTGCTTTTTTACACCATATATTTATGTACAAAACATTTTGCATATAATATACATGAACCTGGGATATAACATGGAACTGATTTACCTTCAACCAGAATAAAAAGGGAAAAAATTAAAATACCCAGTCGAAAGTGCTCATGCAAAGCTTATGAATTTACCTTGAATGCCAGACCATCTCTATCATAGGGACTAGGTGTGCAATCAACAAGAGCCCGTGCTCTTCCAATAAATGTACCTACATATGGATTATGGTCATCTTCACCAGCTGAAGTTGAACTACGATTACTACTGGTAGGTGTGGGAGGTTGTAAACCTGTGAAAAAGATATAAGCATTTTAACATTAATTATTATAAAATCATTCTTTACAAATTGTTTTTCTGCATACTTACGCAGCTTTACTCTTACATTATTAAGAAATGCAGGATATCCAGAAAGTCATTATGCACTGAAAACAGTAACCACAGTAATACTAATGTTAATAATTGTTGCCATCTCCTGGAAATTTATAGTTGGTTATCTTATAAGGTATTTCTCCTGCCTTCCTAGCGTGCCTTCGTGGTGTAGTGGTTCTGTATGCTGGGCTGATATTCCAGAGGTCCGTGGTTCGATTCCCGGCGAAGGCGATTGCTAATTTTTTATCTTGCCTGCTTCCAAAAATACCTAATGTCTCTACAGTGGTGCCCAAACTACAAAATGTGTTGGACAATGATTCTCCTCACCCAGGATTTGGCGATTGGGTCCCCTAAAATCCCCATCGCCCTTTAAAAGGGGGAGTATATAAAGTATTTCTCCTTCCTTCCTAGCGTGACTTCATGTGTAGTGATTCTGCATACTGGGCCGGTATTCCAGAGGTCCGTGGTTCGATTCCCGGTGAAGGCGATTGCTAATTTTTCATCTTGCCTGCTTCAAAAAACACCTAATATCTCTACAATCTGATATTATGCTAATATTTTCCTGTGTGGGAAAGGGGGGGGCTCTGAAGTTTATGTTTTGTGAATATAATCTACTTACACTTTAAGGATTGCATGCTGAAATTGTAGCAGACATACAATAAATCACAACACATACTCCAAAGAAAATCTTCACTAGTATACTGAAGGGTGTACAGACATATCCGAATGCCGATAGACATCAAATTAACACAGTGGACAGAAGCCTATTTTGCTTAGTGGCCAAGGGCTAATGAGATGTTTAAGAAATTAACACCTTCTATAAGAAAACAATGCAATGATATGACTCAGTAATAATTTCAGAACATGCTAATTTTTTGGACTTTCAGTGTATAAAATATTCAAGCAGCTGCACAATCAATATGGATAAGAATAAACCACATACAGAAATACATGTATGATACTACTTTTATAGAATAATTTTAAAAAACACTCAAAGATAATTTGGAAAGCTTGAGTAAAATAATTATAAATCTGATGTGAATGAAAATAGATTTAATGAAAAAAGCATTATTGCTTTTGAAAGTAGCGGGTAGATTAATGATACAGATTTTTTTTATTACAGTTTAAAAAGCGGAAAACAATATTATTTAATCTGCATATCTCACATCTTAATAGAAAAAAAACAATTAGAAATAAAAAATTAGTGGGAATATGAGACACAAAAATCTATTATGCTCAATGCTCTAAATTCATTAAAATGTAGACTTTTTTTAACTTACTTGAACCTGAGCCACTAGGAATACTTTCTATAGAACTCCCAGGTTGAATCAGAACATCAGCACTTTCTATACCTTCTCCAATCTATAAAATGAATAAAATTTGGCATATATAAATTGCATGAAATATCAAAAAGCATTATAGTGGAACTTCTGGATCACAAACAAATTAGCTGAACAAAAATTGCCTCAGATGATGAATGGTGTCTTATGTTGCCAACTTGAGTGCCACTGAACAACAAACATGTTCAAAAGTGTTTTGAGTTAACTTATGCCATATAATTAACATCCAGGGATTTTTGAAAACATAATTTCAACACTTTTCATTGCTTAACTTTCATTAACAAACCCTGGCAGCAAATGACTTACACAGGACCATAAATGTGGTCTGGAGGAAATTACGGCCAGATTGGTTTGCTGCCAGAGATTTTGAACATTTTGCCATTTAAAACTTATTTCTGATATTGTGTCTCTAGGTAAAATTATGGTCTACAAAGTTAATAATGAAGATACTGAGAAATTACTAGATGACCATAACATGTGAACTTAAGAAAGTACTACAACAATTTAAGAAACAATAACAAGTGATTTTGTAATAGATGCCTTTAGAATAAGAAAAAAGGAAAAAGACCCCAGTTTTCTGATTAACGAAATTTGTGCAAAATGGGATAAGGTGCAAAGTTTTCATGTAACAATAAATCTTATTAAGAAGCAGTAAGCACATGCATTTGGAGTTTCGATACCATGTCTTACTTTAGAAACATTTTTAAATGTAGGCAATAACAAATCCTATTGGACAAATTTTGAGGGAAACGGAGATCCAATGAATCTCAAGCAGTGTCAAACAGCACTTACAGACAAAGAAAATTATCTGATGATTTTATGGAAGGAAATTGCGCATCAGTACAATATACTCTTCCTCATCATTTTTAACTATGACGTCCTTTCTTCTTTGCACAGGAACAGAAAAATTAAATTTAGTTTTATACCTTTCATTTAGTCACGGACTCGTCGGGACTTCGGCGATTCCCGGTTATAGATCATCAGTTTAAATGTGGTAAGATGGCATGCAGAAATTATAAAATTAAAAATATGCAACCATAATTTATGAAATAAAGAACAATTATGATCTAAAAGGTATCAAAATTTACAAAAAAAAAAAAAAAAAAAAAAGCTTAATATTTATTTGTTTACTTTATTAAACATTTATTTCAATGTAAGTTGTTCAAGTTGCTTCGTTTTATGTGATAATACTTTCTCTTTAATCCTATAAACAGACATAATTTCTTGTTCAGTTACAAACTTCCGCTGTTGAAGTCCTATAATTGCTGTGTCGAGAATACCGACTAATTTGTCACGAAATGTTTTCGTTTTCAATAACCTCTGTGTCACTTTCTTCACTATCGGAAGCGAATTATAATGACGAGGAATTTGATTTAAATCATATCAAAGACGGAGTACATCGAGACGAAATACTACATTTAGTAAGGAATTATAAGCCGAATAAAATAAAAGAATCTGCCTTGAAGATAAGGATAGTGCTGACAGATCAACTTCAAATCCATTGTGCGCCGCGGCGTTCCCCCTCCCCCTTCGCCGCAGAGAAGCGTGAAATTGATAAACAGATTTCGGAATGGTTAGAAAAACAAAGGATATGCCTTTATCCATTTTTTGCAGCAATTCCACATTTTGTTTAATGGACTTCGAAACATACTTTCGCTTTGTAGATCTTTTACATATTAGTAAATATATATCGGAAATTCTATTTGACATAATTGAAAGTTCAAGCTTACTTTTATGAAATTGCTCTAACAGTCTGCAAAAAATAATTGTTGGAAAATATGACCTATTGTAACCCATTTTCTGCATCATCTCTTCTCCTTGAAATATTTCTAACTTTTACATAAGGTTTATTTTAAGGAGATATAGTAGTTATTTCTACTTCGTTTTTCACTGCCACTGTTTGTATTAAGAGCGGACTGTTCCAACCTAATTAAGATGCAAAAAACGAAGCTTGATGTTACGTCATCTGGAAAGCTGAGTCGTGCCGATAGCTGATTGGTTGCCGTGAGATGACGTCATGTCTACTTCAGGTATAAGTATCTCTCGTCGCTCTCTTCCCCTTATCCAGCTGCTTTCTAGATCTAGAAAAAGCATTTGACAAGGTGTGGCATGAGGGTCTCCTCTACAAGCTGCACTTTATTCATCTGCCCATCAGTTTTATTAAGCTCATGAAAAGCTATCTTAAAAACAGGACCTTTCAGGTAAAAATTAATGACTCTCTCTCTTTAAGAAAAAGAATTAAAAGCGGAGTGGCTCAAGGAAGCGTTCTGGGACCGCTTCTATTTAATATCTACACGAATGATATGCCGAATGATATGCTTCTATTTAATGATATGCTTCTATTTAATATCTACACGAATGATATGACTTTGAATGCAAAAGTAGTGAAATATGCCGACGACACAGCAATTTTAACCAAGTCGCTAAAACCTCAGCTCGCTGTAGATAAACTTGAAAGCGCAGTAAATATTATAGCACACTATTATGATTCATGGAAATTAAAAGTAAATCCGTCAAAGAGCCAAATTCTCCTTTTCAGACGTCATCGGAAGTTCACTCCTGTGAATGTAAATATAAAAATTAATGATCAATCCCTAGCAATAGTTTCAAGTACCAAGTATCTAGGAGTGGTCTTCGACTCACAGCTGTTATTCAAAGAACACACGGAGTATGCCTTGCGCAAAGCCACCGCTGCTAAAATGTCTCTTTACCTCTTTAATAAGAAGAAATGCTAAATTAAATATCAGTCTCAAGAAGAAGATCTATACCAGCTTAATAAGACCCACCCTACTTTATGCAGTGCCTATCTGGGCCACTGTGTACAAGACTTATAGACACAAACTACAGGTCTTTCAGAACAAAATACTCAGACAAATTGTTGACTCCCCATGGTTCGTACGTAACCTGCAGATACATAAAGAACTAAAAATAAGACCCATAGCTGATCAAATTCTCACCACGAGCCACAATTTCTATGCTAAAATAGAACTTTCTCAATACGAACATATCCGTGATCTGATAAATTATGATCCTACTATAGAAATTGCAGCAAAGCGCCCAAGAGGCATCTTCCATAACAGCAAATGGTGAAATGTGTATATATTGTACATAGTACTATTATCTTTATTTTATCTTCATTGTGTCATTTTACCAGTGTCTTTGAAACTTTATAGACTTATGGACATGATCCGTGTACCTGGATCTTCAAAGCACTGATCTTATATTTGTCATTTTCGTAATCTTCTTATTGTTATATCAGAGACTTTGTAATATTGTGGACTTATGGACATGATCCGTGTACCTGGATCTTCAAAGCTCTGATTATTTATTGCTAGTGTAAAATGTTTTTCACCATTTGCCTACTTCGCTCAAATACCGCCGTCCCTATATGTACATAGTGTATAGTTTCAGTAACTCATGTGCCTCAGTGTTGTACAAGAACTTTAGTGTTTAATTTCTCAGACCAAGACTTCACTGAATTGTGATATCTACTATTTCAAGATGCATTGGCTGTGGACAGTTCACGGGAGGGTGACCCCACGTGACTACCACTGTCCAATCTGTGTTTTACAGCAAGGATGAATTTGAATATTTTGTTTAGCTAATCTGTTGCACTTAGTTGTGCCATTTGTCTTCATTTAGATCGCGATATTAGTTTAATTATTCCAATCTGGATAACCTGTTTCAAAACTTGATAATTATTAATATATCCAATATTTCTCATTGCACGCGTAAGCTGCTTTGCTCGGAGTCTGAACTTGGGTGGGTGACCAACCATTTGACAGGCTCCTGCCAATCATCTTCCTCCACTCCACCTACATTTCACAAAATTTGACAAGTTTCGTTTAGTTGGCGCGGCGTAAATCGCCTTAATTAAAAACTTAAGTACCAATGCCTTAGGGCAATTTACCAACAGAGACGGTTAACGTAGCGGTTGGCTACTAATTGCCGCCTAGCCATTGACTCGATTTCGATTTCTTCGCCTTATCTCCGTTTTCTCATCTGAGATTTTCTCCAGGTCCGGATTTATTTATGTCAAGTGCCCTTGGGCTTTAATTCTGGAACCGGCAACATTGCTCTTCGCAATAGCTCAGTCAATTATAGAGTCTAAGGCTTATTCCCCCATTAGCTCCTGCCCTTCTGGACTCACACTTCGAACTTATTCTCTTTTCAGCGCCCAAAGAGCAAACATCTGATGACAGCCGGAACACATGAAGCAGAATGCTTGATAATCTCGGCATAAGTGTAACTTGGCTTATTCCTTCTGGTTCCTGTTTCTTTGCTCCTTGGTGTGCCATTCCAGCCCCCATTGGAAGACGATATTGCGATGCGTACAGTCAAGTGATAAGTGCCGTGGTTCCAGTCTACAAGATGACTTTTCCTGGATTCTCAAAAGAGGCTACGATGTGAGCGACTGCCGTGGCCGACATCCTGTTTTCATGAAGGCGGCATCTTTAACACAAGTGTTTTTCCCGAATTAGCGGCGATCTTTTCCCAAGCTGTGATTTCTCGTGTGTAACTACAGTGAGCGGCGTTTTGCCGGTTTAAGTTCTCTCAAGGATTTAATTTAATTTTCCAGGTGCCTTCTTGACCACGAAGCATGGACTCATTGATAGTGTTGCGAATTTGATTAAAACCGCGTAGTTTTCTGTTTAGTGATATGTTTTTCGTATTGAAAACCAGTATTTGGAGATCAGGTAAAATATTTACTGTGTCTTTAATAGTGTAACATTCTTTAAAGTAAAAACCCTTGGGGTTAATGGATTATCAACTATGTGTAATTTTTGATAATGATTATGTTATACTCTAAGTTTCTGATATTGATTAAATTTACTCATTGTATTTTTATTTTTATATATTGTTAATAAATTGGTTAAGTTTAAAACTTTTGTCTTCAATGTCTGCACAGTACATAACCTTAGGGAACTTCTATTGCTACTTCTGTTAAAAGTTTAATTTTACGACTTTAAACTTTGCTTTTGCATCAATAATAAGCCGGATCCAATTCGAAGATTAAGGAACAACGCTATCCGCAACATTAACTGAATTAGATAATTTTAGCTTAGCTTATACCGTCCGTTATACATTAAACGCGCATGCGTAAACGTATTATGCGCATGCGCACACGCATATTCGCAGCCGTAAAGGTCTTACGCGCATGTATAAACGCTTATGCGCATGCGTCGGATTATGGGTGTCCGAATTAACGACTTTTGACTGTATCATATTTACCTTTTTATTTTATATTTAATAATTTCCATTAGTTTTGGATAGTGAATTTGTCTTAAGTTCATAAAGTTGTAATGTTTAAATAAGTAATCGTCTGTGGTCCAGGAAGGAATTAATTGATTTTACATTAATTCCTATGGTGGAAATTATTTTGGTTGACAAACAGGCTTTAAGAACAAATTAAATTCATTAGTTAGGTTTCACTATTCTCTAAAATAACACAATATAATATAATCCTAAGAAAATAAGTCTGCAGTTATCAAAATGTAATGTGTATTCAAATATAAAAATGTAAATAAATACTAAATACTTCATGAAATAGCTGTTACATATTTAGATTCTATCGAAATTAATCTTTATAAGAAGAATTCCTCATTAAGTATTTTTGATGTACATATATGCTATATTCTGTACTGTTATATTTAGTAGTAATCTGTAAAACTGTAGTCTAATGGTTAAAAAAAAATCAGTTTATTAATGAACTGCTAAGAACATTAAAATCGTACTGCAATAAGGAATTCACTAATAAGTTTACTGCTAAATATTATTAATTTGAGAAAAATCAGTTTATAATTAATTTACAAGTGGTAAACTTTCAGGGATTTTTTAAATTATATTCATGAATCTATTACCCATTTCATTGAAAAAAAATCTGAATTACCATTTGAAGGGACCAGTAATGGGATTCAGCTCTGATAATAGTTTGGCAGATTCACTTCTTAAATTTTAATTCGACAAACTGATTATCAAAATAAAATTTTTGCATCAGTTTGGAAAATTTATCACTATTTAATTAGGATAAATAATTATCACTTATTAGGCAGTAAACTGATTATTATATTATTCAAATTTTACAGCTGGAAGAGTAGGTCATGAAAATTAATTACACCTTATTAATATAGTGAAGATTTGAAATGTTTCTAGATTGTTAGATTATACAAATTAACTCTTTGACTTTTAAAAGATAATAATGAAGACTACTGATGGTATTTAAAGAAGTTTAATTTCTTTCAGATTCTAATATTAAAAATGAATAGAAAAAAGATTCCCAAGGACACAATTGTCAGAGTGGCGCAACTTATTGCCATTTTGCAGAAATAGAAAGTTAAGCATAAATTAGAGATACCAGAAAAGAGTCATGCTGTTAAAATTTATATGAACATGGAAACATCTTTTACAACCTTAAGAACTGAATGCATTCACTTTTTTTCCTAATTATATCAAATGCAATAACTTACATCTTCATCAGCTGTAGCTCCCCTAGAATTACGAAATCGTGAAATTTTTTTCTTAACATCACGGTGAAGATCTCGCACCCGTCCTGCCCAAGATGAAGAAGAGGTCCTCTCGCGAGAATCTCGACAGAAACGAGCTTCCACTTTCTATAATTAATAAAACAACGGGAAGAATCAAAGAAATATCCATTTCATATCTAATAAAAAAGCTAATTTCTGAGGATAGCAGACAAATTAGAGAGAATTTGCTCTATAAAACTTATAACTACGAGTAAATTAAGAATACTTAAAAACCAGAAACTTTTACAGATTAAAATATGCACATAAGAGACAAAAATTTGATGTGGACACCACAAATTCCTTATACGGCATACTAAATTATACAAACTGTTTGTTGCATTTCATTAAAACTTATCTCCGCGGATTATTCTAACTTAATTATTCGATCTCTCAAAGCAAGTTGAAAATGACATCAAAAATTGTAAATTTTAAACTAATCATGCGGTTAATTTTTTATCGTACGGGGTCAAACTTCTAATTTTACTTTTTCATAACGAAATAAACTCTCCCAAAAATAAGTAAAGGAATCGGGAGCCTGAGTTAATAGATTTTGTTGTTTGTCAAAAATTGGATTTTTTTTTTTTTTAAATTTGGCATTGCCGAAACATGAACATTTTCGTAATAAAATAGTTCTGTAATTGGAAGCATGCGACACCTGCGATAGCGAAAATAATGGCCGGCTAAGTACTTTTAAGCCGGTAAGGGGATACTTTTAAGCAGATTCTTCTCAGTTTCTGAGATAAAGCCTAATAATAAAAGAAGTACTGGAGCCTTGGGCTCCAGTACTTCTTTTATGTAAGTGAAGCACAGAGTTTCAGCAGAAAAATTTTATTTAAAACATAAATATATATCTAAAATCGATTATAATTTCCAAATTCATGCCTGCCTTTCTCTAGGGAACAAACATTTTGACGGATGTTAAGACCTTTAAGGAAAGAAAAGCCCGAGCCCCCATCCAGATGTCAAAGGCTTATTTTCTTCAGGTAGTGTAATAAATTTATGAAAGCAAAAAAATATTTTGTTACCGAAAGTATTAGCCAGAGGCGTAGCTAAGGTTTTCAGCGTCCGTGGAGCATATAAGCATTCTGTACCGCACCAACACATAGAAAAAGAGTCCCTCCTTCTGATTGGATATGGCTTCCGATGACATCATTTCCTCTACGCTTAGGACTTTGCTTGGGTTCGAGGATACATCTCCATACCATTTATTTACATTTTGATAACAGTACCGAAAAGTTTATTATGTGCGTTTTATTTTTGTTGCTACGAGATTACACTTTTTATAAAACTGTAGTGTTGGTGAATTTAATATAAAAAAAGGTAGTGATTTTTTTCTTAGAGAGAAAAAGAATCATTTCTTCGTGGGCTCACTTCGTAAATGTGTGCACGAATTTTTAATAAATGTGTTCTTAATTTAAAATCGTTCATATTAAAGGTGCTGTGATTATTAATTCATTATTTCATGTTCATTATATATCCATTCTCTGCTGATGCAATCTGTGAAAGCATGAGACAAGTCGGTTTTCGGAAATAACAAAAAAGATGTTGAAAGCTAACATAGTACACAATAAAATCACTATATTTGTAATCAGTTTGAAAATTTTACAGTATAATAGTAATTTAATTTTGAATAATAGTAATTTATTTTTGAAGTTTGACTAATATAGATTTGGAACAGAGAAATAGAGATGAGTATTTTAAATTGAATAATATTACTTTATGAATACTGCCCATTTTTTAATGTGTAACGTCTTTTATATCTTTGCATAAAAATAGTGTTTGTCAGAGAAGGAAGTTTCTTTTTCTTATACACGTGTATTAAATTTAGCGACAGTACTGAATGCACCTTTTTCCTTCATTTAAGGCATCAGAGTATTAGAATGACATGGACATTAACACGGAAATAACATAATATTTGCAAAGGAAATATTTTCTGCAATGTGAAGAATGCGAAACAAATTGCGGACAGAATGCAAAAAATTACAATAGTATTAATAATATACTTACTAGCACACAATGCCTTTAGAGTTGGGTCGAGATCGTCGTGTTTTGATTTTTGGTACTAAATTCACGAACTCAACTATTTATATAATCTGAGCGCTTAATATTCTTCTGATATTACAGCATATTTGAACGATTTTATAATTTCATTATTCCATGAAACAGTAAGCTATCTGCAGAACGCTGCAGCTAAACGTTTTCGTTTCAAAGAAAACAAACGATAATTTTCACGCTTCCGTGCCACTCATGCGCGTCTTTCAACGAAAACAAAACCTTAAGAATCTCGCCTAAACGTCATTACGTCAAAGATAAAATGATGCCCTCTGAAAGTATGTCCAATATCACAAGTACGGACTTTTTCCTATGCGCGTAGCGCGGTACAGAATGCTTATATGCGCCCGGGAACACCTAAAGATTTTGCTCACCTTTCTGTGTTCCAAGGATGGAAAATATTTCATTCTGAAATGTGTATCATCAATTTGGCGCCTCCTGGATGCTGTGCCTGGAGACGGATGTCCCCCTTGCCCCTACGCCACTGGTATTAGCATTGATTACCTTGGTCATCCACGTCCAGTGCTAGTGACCTCTCATTGGAGAGCTCCTGCAGACTTAAGCTGTGTAACCAAATATGGGGGACAAAAATTATCACTTATGCAGACCTTACATTTGTTCGCATGTTGTTATCTGAACGGATTCGGGGAAAATTTTTTGTCCAGTCGCATTTTCCTTGACAGCTAGAATTATATTGGCAGGGCATCGCGGTCAGAAGCATTCGACTCTTGTCTGTTTTCGAAGCAACGATTCTCCATTAAAATTTCTTTCCATACTCTCATATGGTTTCTAGAATTCGCTCTATTTTCACCAATAAAGCTTTAATCGTTTTACTTTTTTCCACTGGTGTGCTGGAAAAAGTCCCCCTCCTTTGAAATCATATGTTGTTCTATATATGTAGTGTCTAAATTCAGCCGGGGACCGGCTGAGTTGTTTCTTAGTTTTTGTTTGAAGCCAAAATCAGTCCCAAATAAGACGAGGTCCAATATCTTTATAATTAATTAAATTTTTATTTATATTTATTGAATTTTAATTTAATTATTAGTTATTTTATTTATTTATTTCCCCCCCCCCCCATCTTTCTATATATGTTTGGTTCTGCCAATTGCAATAAAAAGGAGAGGTGTAAAACTAGATGTGTTGGTTCACTATAAATGTCCGTTTTACTTTTCAAACTGTTGCCACCAAATGTTAGAGTCCTGCATTATATTAAAGAAATTAAATAATGAAAAATCTGCATAAATGTATGTATGTTTCTCGCATTGTGATAAAACAACGGTATATCGAATTTTGAATGACGCAATCCTACTGCGAATATGGGCATGTGGAAGCCCAAATTTGAAATTTTGAATTTGTTTTATTATCGATTTCATATTTTGTAAAACTTTAACGAATTTTTGATTAACAAACTCAAGGATTTCAAAGCAAGCAATGGCAACGTTGTACACACACACACACACACACACACACACAAAAAAAAAAAAAAAAAAAAAAAAAAGTTATTTCCAGTGCGCTAGTCTCTGTATCGGAAATTCTTATATATATGCGGCTTAAGTGTTTGTCGCCGATAGTTTATTGGTTGCTTGCGTAACTGTACTAGCCAATGGTTTCTCATATATTTGGTTTTCAATCTGTAGCAATCTTGCTTTTATGCAAGAAGAAAGGAGATGAGACTTTGGCGAACGCTGTTTCCTCCAGTTCGTGAGGGACCTTTGATTTTCAAATTCAAGTTCAGAATTTTCTTTTATTGCTGCCAAAACTAGATATGAAATACAATGTTGCCAATAAATGCATTTTCCTTTAAAATTATTAAATCTGTTTTTGTATTTTAAACTGAATTTTCAGCTGAATACAAATTGAGCGTGTCAGGGGGAACGAGAACATTTGTTTGCATTGGCGATCATCTGTTTTTGAAATGATTTACAACTGTAATTATATCCTTATTCCACGGAATCTGTTCACGAGGATATTTGTTATTTCGTATTCTTGCCGGAGTGGGATCAAGTATTTTTACACTTTGAATTTTAAACAAAAATTCATTTTGTGCAGTAAATAAACTAATTCAGATTAATTCAATTTGAATTAGCAGACACCTTTGCACAAATCATTTTAATTACAATTTATAATATCTAAAACAGCGGTCATTTCGTATGACCGCCGGACTGGTAAAATTAGTTAAAGTTTTATGGTTTAAGTGCGAAGAACGTGATATTTAATAAATGATTAATTTTTGTATTAATAAAATACAAAATGTTAAAAAGATACCGCTATGGACGTAATTTAAAATCTGAAACCTTTCAGATGTTTTTTCTTTTCTTTTTTTTTTCTTTCAGTGCCTAAGACATTTTTCGGAACTTTTAAAAAAAATTCTCATAGCATTCTGCAGCGAAGACAATTCACAATTCTGTGTATTAAACTTGAGCTCGTCTCATTCATATTTTCTAGTTTGAGAGTGCAAGAGATGCATTCGCTTTTATAAGTTGGATATTTTTTAATGCTGCGTAAAAATTTTAAAGAATAAACTTTGCGCAAAATGCGTGTATTTAAGTCTTATTGAGGTTTAATGCAAAACTTCGATCACGATGTTTCAGCTAATATATAAAATATTGATATTTTAAATAAATTATTCCGTCTTTAAAGTAAAAACGAAAGCAATACTTTTAAAATTCAGAAAGATGCTTTTGATACTCTAATTTATTATCGAGATTAAATAACTCATTAACTGCACGAAGATTTTTAACCACAAGCTCATCAGCTTTAAATCAATCTAAAGTTAAATATATAAAATTAAAAAGTAATATAACAGTCATAAATTATAAATGTGACTTAATTTGGTAACATTAGCAACATATTTTAATATCTGCTAAGTAATTCCGTAAAGTGAACACAGCACAGAGATGAATAGTTTGAAGTGAATGTATAAAGAGTCCATTAATGCAATGAATTCAATAGAATAAACAAATACTTTTTGTGGGGCGATATGAGTCCCACTGCTCAATTTTCAAAGTCACCTTTTGCAATGACTACACTACCGACATTTGAGTATTTTTCATCATTTGTGAATTTTTATCCCAGAGAAGGGAGTCTAAAAATATCGTAAGATTACTTTCCCTTAGAATATTTCTAATTTTGATTATTTAATATTAGATTTAAGTCTCGGAAAATTAGTGGAAAACCCCCTTACCCGGCTTAAAAGTACTTACCTATCGAATAACAAACACATTGGGGTTTCTGTGTTTGTACAAATGATCTTAATTTCTGCATGGCAATGTAGTATAGTTTGGCAAAATGAATTAATTTTAAATAATGCGTTATTTTACGAGATGCTTCACATTTAAGTCACCTGGAGGATTAAGAAATTAATAACTATATATAGGTAAAATATACGTATTCGTTCTTTAATTACCTTTTCTTCATCTGGCTCTTCATAATCTGAAGAATGGGAATGTCCATCTTCACTAGTGCTGTAACTCGTTCGACTCTAAAATAAAAATTATATATATTAAGCCACATAACATACAAAATTACAGCAAAACTAAATTTAATCTAATGATATCTTTAAACAGCCAACAAGCACAGGCGGCTCATTAATACATGAGATTGCTCTGTTTCAATTCAAATATCTAATGCTTAAAAAATGCAGATTTCTACTCAATACAATGGTAGGATCTTTAACACCACAATTATTTATTTACAACTGATACACATATACAAGAACAAAGATACCTCTGTGAAACATTTATTTTCCTTCAATGTATCATCAGTGTTGTATACAATTCATTGCTGGCAATATGGAGTAGTAGTAGACCTGTGCCAATTTCCTTGTTGATGATTTCCTTGTTGATCAATTGTTGATGATTCAAATAGAGCATTCTGTTGCCTTAAGAATCTATGTAACGCTTCTGAAACGAATTGCTCGAAGTGATACTTTTGTCTTAGGAGTCAAATCACAACCACAGGAGCTTAACTCTGAGGAATGCAACGGATAGTTGAAAAGCCCCAGATTGGGCTACATGGAGACCAGCATTCTCCTGCAAGATAATGGGAGTACTTTGCAGACACTGCCGCCGCCTCTTTGCAAGCTGATCGCACGTTAAGTTTAAAAAATGAACAGTAATATTTCATCTGATAGTCTGTTCTTCAAGTATAGCATGCATTAAGATAATGTCACCACATTCATACACGAGAATTGTTATAATTTTCAGACTGCCGAAGTTATGATAAATTTCTGATTTTCGTGGTGACCTGCAAATGATATTGCATTTTTGATTAACATTTCAATCTGTTTCATGTTTTATCTAGCCTAATTATGTGGCATAAGACAGTTTTTCCTTGTGCTCTAAGTGGTTGGATAACATTTTAGAATTTGCTACGATTCCAACTGTTCCTGTTTCAAGAGTATAGGGAAAACACTACTTCAGGCTGCGAAACTAATTCATTGTGAGCTAAGTTATTTATCGGACTAACGCATGACATAAGAAAGAAGCATTTGCATAGCGTGTATACCATAATATTTTCTCCACTATTGAAGTCCCAATCATGTACTTAGTAGAGGCATTAGGTTATTTTAAGAAAAAGACGTGAAAAATGAGCAATGCCCTCGCCTGGACTCGAACCACGGGCCTCCCGAATGCGCGCCGAGTGTGCTGACCACTACACCACGAAGGTGTGCTAAGAAGGCGGGAGAAATACCTTATATACTCCCCCTTTAAAGGGCGAATGGGGATTAGGGGACCCAGTCGCCAAATCCAGGTGGTGGAGAATCATCATCCACCCCTTTTTTAGTTTGAGGGCCACTGTAGAGACATTAGATATTTTGAAGCAGAAGAGATGAAAAATGAGCAACGCCCTCGCAGAGACACGAACCATGGACCTCTTGAATACGAGCCGAGTGTGCTGACCACTACACCACGAAGGCATGCTAAGAAGGCGGGAGAAATAAATTAATAAATCTCACAAAATATCGTGTGAATAAATATTGTTACGAATTTGGTATTTAAAAAGCTAATGTTAGTTCAATTATAAATTAAATGGTTTTATTTCTCGCGCAGTGCAGCGCGTGACGAATATTAAAAGAAAGCTAAGCCGGAAAAATTAAAAATACAAGAGCGCGTGCGTTAAATAAATAAATATCTCTTTTTGATTTCGAGAAAGTACTGGAAAATTCTAGCGCGTGATTTTAAAATCTTATAAAAGGAGGAAAACATCTCAGTTTGTAGCAGTTGCTTAGTTTGTTGTTTAGAAAACTGCCGTTGTTGATTATAGCGAATTCGCGGATTAGCGTTCTTTAGCTGTTTTGAATTACGTTCTATTGTACATTTAAGTAGTTAAAAGATAACTACTGTGAGATATTGTGATACTGCATGATAATTTGAGAAAATTTAAGCATTTATGTTGTGATAATAATAAATTTTTGTTCATTTTTCATCGGACTTGTGCATTCATTTCATAACGAACCCGTACGCACGCAACAATATTATTTCCTTCACACAGAGAACCGCTTGGAAAGGAGCGAGGAAATAAAGAAAAATCAGAATATATTATCAAAAATCATCCGCTTACATGACATGAACGCTAAATAATCAGACAGTGAAATTATAAAGTTTGACATTACACCGATTAACTAAATAGGAAATATTTTTGCTTTCGCTTGAAGATTAATAAATTATTTTCTTTATAACATATGCTAAATTTTATTAAGTAGACAAAGTAATTATAAATATATTTATGTCTTAAATATGTCTATAAAAGTTTAGAACTAATGCCAGTGGTTTATATAGGTAAATAGTCCCTTCTATTGCAAAATAAGCGATAGCTACCTTCTTCAAGAATTTTTATAGGGGAATCTGTAACAGGAGTTAAATAATTTATATTAAAGCACATCAGTTTAATTTGTTAACACCAGAAAGTTTCTCTAAACTGATGCTTTATTTGTAGTTACATACAAATGCAAAGAATTCGCTCTTTATTTTATGTACGGCCCCTAAAACAATGTCCAAATTTAAAACTAAATATCTCGGTCAATTTTGTGGCATGGAAGTCACACTTCGTAGACTACACTTTTTACAATCTTCCTAAACATAAATCTACGAACGATACGAACATAAAAATTTCGTTTTTCCGTTCGTAATTTTTACAAAATTAATTAATTTAAATTTGAAATTTCTAAAACATGAATATATGCCTCATTTAAAGCATTTTTTGTAGCTGGAAGTACATACATGTCTACGAAGAACGGGTGCAAAAATAAAGGCAATGTATGGTCTTATAAGATTTATGAAATCGCAATGAAGATACCGGACAACTGAACAGTTGAAAGAAAATATTAGGGAGGATTCAACAGAATCGTCAGGTGTATTTAATTATGGCAAAGCACACTAGGGCTATCTGCCTAAGGGAAGGGATGCCTTTCGTGGAGGACTTTCTAAGGGAAACTGGCTCGTATACACATTACACATGGGGAAAACCACGAAAACGCCCATGCAGCCAGCCCGTTCGCGGGATCAGAATCGTCAGAGTTTAGCTTCGTAAAATTTTACATAAAACATCGGACCATATAATTTTATGCAGCAACATCAGTGTGTACTGCCAGTGATGTTCTAGATGTTCCAACATTCACGTAAACTATTATCCAATGTCAGTGATTTGAAGTGATCTATAGACATAGAATATACAGCAATGGGATTATTTGGGAAATAAAAATGCTTTCGAACTACTCTATACAATATACCTTTTTACCAGGAATATACCAGGAAGGCAATTTTTTTTTTTTTTTTTTTTTTTTTTTTTTTTTTTTTTTTTAAAGACCTGAATTTTTTTTTTTTTTTTTTTTTTTTTTTTTTTTTTTTTTTTTTTTTTTTTGTAAAATTAGTTCTCCTCTAGCCTCCGTTGCTGAGGCTAATCTTAATATGGTCTCCATTCAACACTTATATTCAGTTTTAGTGTTTTCAAAAACTACTTTTAAGTTCAAAGCAGTTTTCTGTTTAAATAATAAAATGTATATATATTTCGTGCATAACATTCAACTAGAAACGAAGCTTGGCTAATAAAAGATTAAAAAAGCCACAAGTTAGTTTTAAAACTTTGAAGAGAATCATAGCAACAATTCTATATTGCTATACTACATATATTAATACTGTATGTCTCATTCTAATTTCTTACTATATCACCTATGACATTGTAATGCAGAGATAGAAAAGAAGATTTGGGAATAATACGTATAACAGAATGGGGCGGGGGGGGGCTTCTGTTAAAAACTGCTTTTTACATAGACAAAAATAATTCGCTAGGAGTAGTAATAATAGCAATTAGAAACAAAAAATGCGTAAATTTATTCCTGAATAGCAAAAATATATGAACTAATATGAAGAACTTGATCTTGCTCTGTGACTTACAGAAACTCTAGCAAAACTGATTCTGAAATACATCAGCGAGAAAATATTTCACAGATCTATTATTTAAATCATAGACGACATAGTGTGCTTTTGTACAACAACTATTTTAAAAACGAGAAAATACAATAACTTATAAACAATTTTCAATTGATTTTCCATTTGTGTTAAAGTCAATGTTTATTTAAAATTCTTAGAATTTGTTAATATTTCCTCCAAAATAAATTACCATTAATCGCATCTGTGACGCAAATAGTTAAGTGGTTAAAACCTGAATAATGTAAACAACAAATCATGCAAATGAACTCTCGGCGAATGAATTAAATTGAGAACAAAAGTGAAAGACCCTTGACCTTGACAAGCATCTCAGACCAGGCCACGTTTAGGATTGAGTCGGTTCTTTCACCTTGACCCACCTTTTCTTCTGCTCATACAGGTGAAGATCCAATGCCCTCATCCTGGTTATCCCAGCCATCCGCTCTTCGTTACTATAGCAACCATTATAATTACTCCCCTGCCCTGCACTTCGTGTGAAATTCCATACCGCTCTTGGGCTTTGCCGAACCATCCTTTGAATCAATTTGGAGAACTCGATGTTACATTGGGAATTTCGAAAGCGAAGAAAATAAAAATAAGGTGAAAAGTTCTCTCAAAGCATTTTATTCTCCAGTATTATACAACATCCACAACCATTCCGTCTAGAAAGTTAGGACCAAGTAACGGTGAAAGACTCCACTGCTCCCTCGTGAACATTTATTGGAGCTCTCGTACTCATTGGATCTTAAAGCACGAATTAAAAGATAGCTATCTTGACCCAAGGGATGTAATTCCGGAGACTTATAATGCTCTCGAGAGTTTTATCAGCGTTTGGTTTCCTTGAGTAACTGGAGGCAATGGATAAGTTCCAAGTTTTTAAACTGAATAAAAGCTTCGTAAAGTTTAAGACACGACTATAAAAAGATTCACAAACTGTTTTTTTCTGAAGATTTGTCTTCTCGTGGATATGTGACAGTTATTCTTGTTATTTTAATAATAAAGCTACATATTTGAATTTTACGCCACTAATCACATCCGACATGAATAAAAAAAA